CTATTATGGGCTACTGGACTCTTTTAGAATATTTTGCTGAGTTTACACACCTATAATATTCAAATAACGGAACTTAACAAAAAAAAAAAGGATATACAGAAGAATGTCCATTTTGTATCTGGTTAGGATAGATATATAGGTACATTCTCTTAATGAATAGAATGATTTGTTCTAATGGTGTTTGTAAATAGGATCTCAAGCCTGCATCTTATACAGCAATTAACCACTAAGAAGAATGTATGCAGTGTGTTAATTATTGAAACTGTCCTAGTGATTTGATTTAAAACTGTCTCATTGCTTTTTGTTTATCCATAAAATTATTTTAAAAAATGATCAAAAGAGATAAAGAAGGTCACTACATACTTCTTAGGGGAAAACTGCAAGAGGAAGTGATAACAATCATAAACAGATATGCACCAAATATGGGAGCATCCAAATACATAAGACAAATGTTAATAGACATGAAAAACCAAATAAGCAATAAATAATCATAACAGGGGACCTTAACACTCCATTTTCACGAAGAGATACATCAACTAGAAAAAAAGTCAGCAAAGAAGTAACAGAACTAAACCAAACTGGTGAACAAATAGACTTAGTAGACCTTTACACAGTGTTTTATCTGACATCAGAATACACATTCTTCTCAGCTGCACATGAGACATTTTCTAAAATTAACCATATTCCAGCCCATAGAACATGCTTAAGTAAATGTAAAGGAATTGAAACTATCCCTTGCATATTATCTGACCATAGTGCCAAAGAAATTGCAAAAACTCAAAAAACAAATGGAAATTTAATAACACCCTTCTGAACAACCAATGAGTCACAGATAAAACTAAAGATGAAATAAGGGGGCCTGGCCCCAGCGCAGTCCTTTAAGTGGCTGCTTCCACAAAGCTGTCAGCCTCAGGTTGCTGGAGTTCGAACCTCACAACTCTCCCATTGGCCAAAGTGCCCTGAAGGCATTCGAGGAAAAAAAAAAAAAGATGAAATAAAATAATACCTACAATCAAATGAAACTTACCAGAACCTGTGGGATCTAAAGAAAACAGTTCTAAGAGGACAATTTATAGTGGTGAATTCTTCCATTAGGACAGAATGCACACAAATAAACAAGCTAATGCCACACCTCCTCAAGCTTCAAGTAAAAGAAGAGCAAGTCAAACCCAAAGCCCTAAGTAAGGAGGAAATTATAAAGAACAGAGCAAAACTTACTGCAATGGAGGCTAAGAAAACAATACAAAGAATTAATGAATCAAAGAGTTGGTTCTTTGAAAGAATAAATAAAATTGATAAACCACTAGTCAACCTTATCCAAAAAAAAAAAAAAGAAAAATTCAAATTCATGTAATAAGGAATGAAAAGGGTGAAATCACTACAGATCTTGCAGAAATTCCAAAGATCATCCATATTTACTTCAAATATCTTTACTCTCACAAGATGGAAAACACAGAAGTGGACAGAGTCCTAGACACATGAAATACCAAAGCTAAATCAAGAAGATACAAAAATCCTGAAAAACCTAATGTCAGTCAATGAAATTTGAAATAGAATTTAAAAATTACTAACAAAGAAAAGCCTAGGTCCTGATGTATCCACATCTGAATTCTACAATAAATTTAGAGAAGATTTAACATTAATACTTCTCAACTCTTTAATGAAATTGAAAAAGAAGCAATTCTCCTGAGCTTATACTGGCAGGTAAGTATTATATTGATACCAAAATCAGAAAAAGACCCAATTAAAAAAAAAATGAACTACAGCTCAATCTCCCTAATGAACAGAGATGCAAAAGTACTCAATAAAAGCTAGCAAACAGAGTGCAGCATATCACCAAGATTATATATACCATAACTAAGTGGTATTCATCCCAGGAAAGCAGAGATGGTTGACTGTATGCAAATCAATAATTGTAGTGCAAAATATCAATAGAGCCAAGGATAAAACCCAAATGATGATCTCAATAGATGCAGAAAATCTTTTGATGAAATCCAATATTCATTCATGATAACAACGCTAGAGAAAATCAGAATAGGTGGCTTTCTTTTATCTCAGCCTGATAAAGCCATCATCACAAACCAGAAGTCAACAAACATCATACTAAAGGGACAAAAACTGAAAGCTTTCACTTTAAATTCAGGAAAAAGACAAAGATGCCCACTGTCACTACTCCTACTCAATATAGTTCTAGAAACATTAGCCAGAACAATTAGACAAGAGAGAGAAATAGAAGGAATAATGATTGGAAAGAAGTGAAATTATCATTATTCACAGATGACAGGATATGCTACATAGAAAAACCCAAAAACTCCAGCAAGAGACTTACAGATTTAATAATCAAATTCAATAGCATAGCTGGATACAAAGTCAGCTCTCACACATCAATAGTATTCCTTTACAGAAACAACACACTTATTGAGAGAAAAATTAGGTAAATTACACCCTTCACAATCACAACCAAAGAAACAAAATACTGGGGCAGGGGAGATAGCTTGGTAGAATATGCACTTGCCTGGCAAACGCCAGGGTCTGAGTTCAATCCCCAGTTCCACCAAAAAAAAAAAAAAAAAAAGAAAAGAAAGAAAGAAAGAAATACTTAGCAATCAATCTAACAAAGGTAGCAAAAGATCTTTACATTGAAAACTACAATGCTCTGAAAAAAGATATCAAAAATATAACACAAAATGGAAAGATATTTCTTGCTTATGGATACAAAGAACCAACATTATTAAAATGGCCATATTCCCAAAACTATTATACAGGTTCAATACAATACCAATCAAAATATCTCAGTAACAATACACAATGTATAAACATTGTTACTCTCCTAAAAAAAAAAAAAAAAAAAAAATATATATATATATATATATATATATCATTAGTATACTTCACAGATCTATAGAAAAAAATTCTAAAATTCACCTGGAACTGAAAGAGACCTAAAATAGCAAAAGAAATCCTGGACAACAAAGGCAAGACAGGAAACATCACAATCCCTGACTTGAAATTACACTACAAAACTACTGTGATAAAATCAGCATGGTACTAGCAAAAAAATAAACAGACCTGAGAATTAGTAGAACAGATTAGAAGATGCAGACACAACTACAAACACACTCAACTACCTTATCTTTGACAAAGAGGCCGCATATGTTCACTAGAAGAAAGATAGCCTCTTTTAATTAATGGTGTTGGAATAACTGGCTTTGTACATATTGAAGACTAAAAGTAGACCCATGTCTATCACCATGCACTAAACTAAAGTCAAAATGGATCCATGATCTAAATATTAAAACAGAATAACTAAATCTACTGGAAGAAAAGTAGGTAGACATCCAAAGACATGGACATAGGCAGAGAGTTCAGAAACAAAAACCAAACTGCACAGGAAATACTTTCAAAGAGTCAACAACTGGGATCTCATCTTATTGAAAGACTGCATATCAAAAGAAATTACCAACAGTGTAAAAAGAAAACCTATGAATTGGAAAAAAAAATTTAGTCGACTGTCCCTCAGACAAAGGGCCTCTATCTAGAATAAAGCATTAAAAAACATCATGCCCCCCAAATTCAATGACTTAATCAATAAATGGGCATCTGAGATGAATGCACACTTCTCCAATGAAGAAAACAAATAGCAAATAAATAAATGAAAAACTGTTTAACAGCATTGGTCATTCAAGAGATGCCAATTAAAACAATGCTGAGATTCCAGCTCATCCTAGAAAGAATGGCTATCATCAAAAAGTCAACCACAAATGCTGGAGGGGGTATGGAGTAATAGAACACTTCTCACTGTTGGTGGGACTCGACTGGTACAATCATTGTAGAAATGAGTGCGGAAATACCTCAAAAAACTAGAAGTAAAGGTCCCATTCAGCCCAACTATTCCCTTCTTGGGTGTTTTTCCAGAAGAACTGAAATCATCATAAGATAGCAATACATGTGCAGCCATGTTTACAGCAGCACTGTCATAGCTAAACCTTGAAAACAACCCAAATGCCCACCAATAACGGAATGGATAAAAAAAGATGTGGTATTTTTACACAATGGAGTATTACTCAGCTATAAAGAAAGATAAACCAGAGGATTTTAATAGGTAAATGGATGCAACTAGAGGCCATACTCGTAAGTAAAACAAATTAGACAAGCATATGTAAACACCCTATTGTCTCCCTAGTGTAGAGCAAATAAAACCTGAAAGGCACAGTAGTTTTGTGAAAGGGAAAGACACTGCTCAAAAGGAAAGAACAGCTGGGATTGGGGAAAGGAAAAAAGAAAAGAGGAAGGATGTATAAAAATCATTGCACTACCAATTTCTATTGGTTTATTGAAAGGTACAATTAATGCTTAAAATTTTTTTTATCAGTTTTGCAGGCTTATATCTGGCAATCTGAACAACTACTTTGAAGATAACAACACGCAATATATGGTTGATTGCCTATCATCTTGTTTGGAAATTCCGTACCATTTTTAATGACTCGTGGTTTTTAAATTTTCTTTAAAGTAAAAAAAAAAAAAGAATGATAACGCCTCAGCCTGTAGAGTTGACTCAGCCAGGTCAACAGTCCATCTTTAAAAAGCTGGCAGAGCCAGAGGACTGCAGCAACTGAAGCCTGGCTCAGATGCCCGCCCTGCCCACTGGTGCTCCACAACTCCAGAAGGGCAATTCACCATCTTTTCTCCAGTCTTCCTAGACTCCGCCCCTTTCCTTGGCCCTGCCTCCTCCGCGCAGGCGCTCTCACGCGCTCCTCCGCTCAGCCAATCGCCGGTGACGTGGGAGGGGGTGGGACTTCCGTCTCCGCCCGCGGGGCTGTCTCTGACGTGCGGCCCCGCCTTCTGTCAGGTGCTGGGGCCGGAAGATGGCGGCGGCTGCCGAGTTGAAGCTGCTGGAGAAGTCGCTGGGGCTGAGTAAGGGTAATAAGTACAGCGCTCAGGGCGAGCGACAGGTAAGAAAAGCAGAGGCGACGCCTACGTAGGGAAGTAAACTGTGGTGGGCCGAGCCCGGCTGGCCGCCGGCGGCGTGAGCGCGCGGCTTGCCGGCTGCACACGTGTCTGGCCGCGGCGCCGGCTGGCTCGCGCGGTCTCCTGCCGAACTTTAGCTGCGGCGAGGCTGTCAGCATCCGTGCGGGGCGGACGAATCCGGGGTGCGGTGCCCTCAGCGCGCCGAGAACCTGGAGACCCCGGCCGGGGCTCGGCGCCTGCGCCGGCTGCTTTCCGTGTGTCCCCGGGGCCGGGGGCGCGGCGACGGCGTGGGGAGGGGTTCGTCGCCTCGTGGCTCGCGGCCTGGTGCGGGAGAGCGCCGCGCTGCGGGGCGGCTGGCCGAGAGAGCGCGGGGGGCTCACGCACGGGGAAGGCTGCGGGGAAGGCCGAGACGGAAGCAGTTGGCTGGGGTGGGAACCCCTGGTGCGGTGCGCGGCCCGATTTCCCGGGGCTTGGAGGACTGTGTTGTATAAAGATCGTTGCTTGCTATCGAAAGAATGGGTTCGAGTAGAAACGACTACTTTGGATTTATACGGGTTTTTCTCCTTTTAAGTTTTTCCCCAGATGATGTAGATTTTTGCCTAAACTTTTGCTTTGTTTGATGCAGGCTAAAAATAATTTTTGTCGTAACTGGGCGTGATGGTGCACGCCTATAATTCCAGCACTAGGGAGGCCGAGGCAGGAGAATCTCTCTGAGTTCAAGGCCAGCCTGAAGGAGGCCCTGTCTCAAAAAACGGAAACAAATCATATCTGGATGACATAGTTTTTACAACCAAATTAGCCTAAGGCCTGGATTAGCAACTTTCCTAAGATCCCTTGACGGGTAAAAGAGTAGGTAATGGCTCCAAAGAGTTCTGCTGCTGCTTTTTCCTCAATCCCCATTCTGTTCCTTCTCCTCAGCCTCTACTACCTGGATTGCTTTATGTTTATAGGAAACATGGCCGAGATCTGAGTCTAGCCTTCAAGGAGCTTATTAAGCTAGTCTGAGCAGCAGTCGATGCAATTCGCTTAAAACACAAGAAAATGTGTACTATTGCAGCAAAGCCGCCATTAATGGGGAATGTAGAACAGGAAGTTAACGCCTTGTTAAAAAAGAAAGAAAGAAGAGCTGGTGTTTAAGGGATTAGAGCTTAAAAGATGTGTAAAACCAATAAATTATGAAAAGCTGGTAAGTTTGGAGCAATAAATAAATCATTATTAGTGGTAATATGATACAAAGTAAACCTATAGTTACTGTGTGAGGCCCTGTCGTGTGGGCTGTAGGGTTTGTGTGGCTTTTAATTAAAATATTTTAGTGGCGGACAGCTCTTAAAGTTTCTATCTATATGTATGTGCAAAGGGATTGGACAAGAATAAGATTTAGCCCTTTCCATTGGACAACTGATGGCAAGAAAGCATTCTCTGCCACCTTGCCAATAATAAGTAAAAACTTCATAATAGTCCAGCAATTCAGGTCCAAGGCAGTTCAGCTCACTAAGCTACATCAACACATACGTAGGCAGCCATTCAAAGTAATTACTTTGAAGACCATGGAACCATAAGACTGATGGGAAAATAGTATGTGTCGGGCCAGGGAGATGGTTCAGTAAATAAGTGCTTCCCTGTCAAGCCCAAGGGCCTAAGTTCAATCCCCGGTTCCACCAAAAAAAAGAAAGGAAGGAAGGAAGGAAGGATGGATGGATGGATGGATGTGTCCTGTGATTGTGAAGAAAGAAAGAAAGAAAGAAAGAAAGAAAGAAAGAAAGAAAGAAAGAAAATAAATGGTATGTTGTCCTGTGATTGTGACTGCTTAATATTTATGTCCTTTAGCATGGATAAAGAAAAGAGGGTGTTCTGTCAGGCTAATTGTACTTTATTCAAGCTCTTACTCTGACGTTACAAACACAGCTTACAAAGAGATGTAAAATGAAGATATTTATTTTAGAAGATTTAAAATGAAAATGAGAGTTTTTGCCTATTAGAAACTATAATAATTAGATGAGATAGTAATTTAAATTTTTTGTGTTAACATGGTGGATTGTGGATAATTTAGTTTTAGAATAATAATGTTCTTTAGAGTAAAAAATTGGTGAGTGTGCTACAGCTTTTTAACTGTATGTCACCCCTGAGCACATGAAGGGCTTACTTACACTTCTCTGCAGTATAACTCCCTTGCTGGGGAGCGTTGGGGCACCTGGTTATTCTAGCCAATGGGCTGTGTGCAGTGACAGGCATCAATACCAGATGAAAGCACTCATTGCTGCTGCAGATGCCTCCAGTAGGCCCCTGCTGTGGTGACTGTAGAGACATTGCTGCCCCAGGGATGAAGCTGGACTTGCTGGGTTACCACTCCCAACAGTGTTCCCAAAGCTTTCATAAGTAAGAAGCAAACTTTTATTGTACTAAGGTACTAAGAGCTTAGATTTCAGTAATGCCACATGATTTGATTTATGGGCGTAAGTATTCTTGTTTGAAATTTGTACAGTATTAGGATTTCCATTTTCTCAGAACTTCGTAAGTTATGAAGTAACATGATTTTTTGCAGTATTATTACCACTTTATCATGAAGCATCTATGAGCAAACCAAAAGTTCTATAACTGCCATTTTCTTGATTTATGTCTGTAATTTAGAATCTTCAAGTAAAACCCTACAATAGTTGGCTTGAAAGAAACAATGGAGGGATTTAGTGATTACTTAGAAGTCATGGGTATGTTGGTCTTTGTCTTCTAAGGTTATCTGAATTTTTTTCTTTTTAAGATTCCAGTTCTTCAGACAAACAATGGCCCAAGTTTAACAGGATTGACAACAATAGCAACTCATCTAGTCAAGCAAGCCAACAAGGAACATTTGCTGGGAAGCACAGCAGAAGAAAAGGCAATGGTTCAGCAGTGGTTGGAGTACAGGGTCACACGAGTAGACGGACACTCTAATAAGGAAAATGCCCACACACTCCTGAAGGTACTATGACTTCTCTTTTTAATCTGGATTGCATGAAATAGTAAGCACAAGTCCCTGCCTGCAGGATTTGCACCTCCTGTTCTCCTCTACCCCTTTGTCCTGCTTCCTATTTCAGATCTCAGCCCAGACACCTCTGCCTCAGACAGCTTCCTGACTGCATCCCTCAGCTACATGTGCTTGCTGGTTCTGGTCACAGTTGCAGCAGCCTCTGCTTCTCCTTCAGAGTGCTGACATACAGTTCTATGACTTTTTAAAAATATGATGCATGGCTCAGTATGTTTCTCCACTTAGCAGCTGTGATTCTGTAGATAAAAGATAAATGTTTTCTCAGAGGCAGGAGGGAACAAGAATCTGGAGCTTGTAATTTAATAAGTTGACTTGAGAAATCTCACCTTTCCTTCTCTTAAGAGTCTTAAGAGTTATATTTTTTTTCCCAAAGGGATCAAATTATAGTAAAAGAACTTGTTGATATAAAATGTAAATCAAATAATTGGCTCAACACATCAAAAAAAAAAAAAATCCCAAATGCAATTTTTTTATTCATTACATAAAAACAGATTTTAAAAACTTTAAACATAAAATATGAAGAAATTTTAGAGATCATCTATATGACCACATATTTTCTGATTTTGTTTCCCATTTAGATAATGGTAATATAAATTAAATAAGAACATTTTTCCTTATTTTGGGGGGAAATGATTTAAAATACATTCTTTATTCTAGAAGCTGTCAAGAGAACTGGCAGGAAATAAACTTCAGGCCTTGTTTCTTAGGTCTGTCATGATCAACCATTCATTATCAGTATCAAAATTAATCCCTTCTGGAGATCCTGTCATCGTCCATGATTTCTGTGGTGCCACGTGCTTTGAGGTGTTTGCTCATTTGTACTGACATACGTACCTGGCATGTGCTGGGCACAGTGCCGAGGGCTGGGGAAGCCTTAAACACTGTCTTCAGAGTTCAGGCTAGTGAGGAGACCAGAGAACGGACTCGAAGTGATTCTAGGCCATAGGGGCACAGAAGAGGAGAAGGTTGCTTTCTGCTGCTGTGGTGCTATTTTAGATCAGCACTGTTTATTTTAAAGGCAGTCAGTATTAATTAACAGATTGCCTTTATTTATATTTGAGAAATATAAATAAGCAAATAACATTTTAAACATCTATTCTCCCACTAGTTCAGTTACAAATTATTAAATCTCTTTTGTATTGTTCCCATCTTCTTTTCATACATACGTACGTACATACATACTATGTATTTAAGAGATTGGCATTGAGTATAAACATTCCCAATTGTTTCTTTAGGCTAAACTCCTGCCAGGGAAATTGCTAGGCCGCAAGCCATCCCTTCCCTTTGTACTTCAGAAAATTGTGTTATTATTATGCCCCTTTCCATACTAATTCAGGTATTACTGCTTTCTATTTTATCATGTCAATTTCATCCCCAAAACAAGCAAAAGCGTCATTTCTTTGTTTACATTTTTTCATAAAATTATTATTGGGATGGCATCTTTCATGTTTATAGGCCATTTTTATTGTTTAAATTTATGGTATATATCCTTTATTCATGTTTATACTTGGCTATATATCTTCTCATTATTTAATTTTAGATCTCTTGGTCTTGGGATATTTAAGAAGGTGCTTAATCCTCTTTTGCCAAAATTCTACTTTACTGTTAAAAGCCACAAATCTAAGATTAAAAGCCACAATTCTAAATAAGTCAGTATATAATTTTTGAAAAAGCATTACAAACCAGTAATATGTATTGAGTCTAGGTGAGAGGTATATAATTACTTACTGTAATGCTTTTTCAATTTTTCTGTATTACTAAATGTCTACTAAGAATTGGGAAATAGGAAGAAGTGTTTCAGCAGAGTTGGCAGTAGCTTCTGAAAGATTTGTTTAAAACACAAGGAGCCAGGTATAGTGGCATAGGCCTGTAACTCAGCTATGTGGGAAGCTGAAGTGGAAGGGTAGTCAAGTTTGAGAAGAGCCTGGGCTCTGTCACAAAAAGAAAAAAGAAATGAATATCATAAGTTCTCGTTTGTCCTTTGAGGAGAAAAATTATTTTGTAAATCACTAATCAAAAATATCATAAAAACATTGAGAGGCTTTGTAAATAAAACAATGTGTATCTTGTTTAGAAGAAACATACTATATCAAAGTATTTCAGAGCTTTACATAATTCTTACATTTAAATAAAGATATATTTACTTCTTTCATAGCTGTCTCCTTATTTGTGTCCACATTCCTGGTATCCTCATCTGTACCGTTGAGTCTTTAAGCACATGCTTCATTTTTCCTTCAAATGTGCCTGTTAGCTGTGTAGAGAGCTAAGCCCATATTCATATGAAGCCCATATTCATGTACTATTTTGAAAATTATTATCACTATATGAAAATATGTATAAACTTAAAAGATTAAATTTGGATTAACAAACATTTACTGATGATTTATCCACTATGTGCCAGGCGCTTTAAGATGTTTTAGGGTATGATGTTTGGTTCCCTCCCAGATTTATATGCTGAAATCCTAACCTTCGAGGTAATGATTTAGGAAGGGGATTAGGTCCAGAGCGTGGAGTACTCTTGGCCTGGACTAGGACTCTTCTGTCAGAGGCCTGGCACCCCTCACCCCTTCTGCCCTGTGAAAAGACAGCCCTTGTGAACCAAGAAGCAGGAAGCAAGACACAGGGAATGAGCCCATAGGGATTGCAGCTTCTAGAACTTTGACCCTGTACTTCTAGAACAGTCTTTTTTTATATATATACATATTGAAATTTATTATAGTACTGAAATTGCATTTAACAGAGCACTATTTTCATAGGAAGCTTTAGCTAAGCCAATTATTTATGAGAAAGATAACCTAAAATTTTTTTCTTACGGTAGATCAAGCAATATAATGCATAAGCAGCATTTTAATTACATGCAAATCGGGTCAGCTGAATAGCTCGGTGGATTAAAGCACCTGCAAGCAGGCACAAGGGCCGGGTTTCAATCCCTGGGCCTGCCCTGCCGGCCATCCCCCCACCCCCCAGGCATGCCGAGACAGCAAACGAGACGAGACCGGACGTGGTGGCTTGTGCCTGTCAACAGGAGAATCACTATGAGTCCAATCTAGTAGAGTGAGACCCTGAGCACCCTGTAGACCCATCCCTAAAATATACAACAAAAAAAATTAATTACATTCAAATCATGATAGAACAGTCTTGAGAAACCTCTGAGGATACCTGACAGTAGTACGTGTAAGTTATTTATAAAACCTGCCTTGAAAGGTATATGATTCTGTTGTCTCTTTTAAATTGGATGTAATTTAATTCCTGTTCTGCTGAATTATGCGTTAGTTTTGAGAGATGCCAAATGAATTCATACACAATAGTAATTTTCCCTCAGGAAACTACATATTTATAGCTAGTCTGTCAGACAGTACTTCTAATTTGAGATAAGACCTTTGCAGAATTTTATTTTTAAACATGTGCTTCATTTTTCCTTCAAATGTACCTGTTAGCTCCATAGAGAGCTGAACAACTAGTGGAGTGGTTTGGTGTTTTTTTGTTTTGTGTTTTGAGGTGTTTTGGTATTTTAAAATGATTTCTTTTTGTATATATTAACATAATTTGAAACTTGGTAGCTCTTATGTAGGCATCTAATAACAAAAGCTTTCTATGCCTTTAAATGGTATTTAAACCTAGAGCCTTTGAGGTATTGTGAAAATTGGATATCCACATAAAAAGTAATGAAATTGTGCTTCTTACATCATTATAAAAATCAACTCAAGGGATCAAAGCCTAAATATAAAATCAAAAACTAAAATTCTTAGACTTTTGTGTCATTTGAGTAGGACTGATTTCTTGCATTTAACATTAAAGGCACAGGTGGTGACTAAAAATGGATGTATTATACTGTATCAAACTTTAAAATTTCGGTGTGTCAAATGACATAATCAGGCTGGTGTAGATTTCTTGTCTGGCATGTGCAAGCCCTACAGCCAATCTCTAGCACCACAGTCAGTCAGTCAGTAAATTAAACACACAAACAAAGCCGCACATGAAATTGTACAAAATATTTGCAAGTCATATCTAATAAGGTGTGAATATTCAGATTTTAAAACTCTATAACTGAACAAAAAAAAAAATCTGATTTTAAAATGGACAAAAGACATTTTTCCAAAGAAGATACACAAATTGTTGACAAGCTTATGAAAAGAGGGTGAAATTTCTAAGCATTAGTGAAATTCACATTGAGATATCACCCTAAACTCTAAACTAGGATGGCTACCCCTAAAAAGTACTAAAACAAAAAACTGATTTGTTAGTCGTGTACTGTTGGTAACAATATAAACTGATACAACTGCTATGAAAATAGAGGTGGCACTTCCCCAAGATGATATACAGTCACCATGTGACCCATCAGCTACATTTGTTGGTATACACCTAGGAGAATGCATGTTCTCCACGGATTAAAGCACCTACTTAGGCAGAGTGCGGGGAGCAGGGTTGGATCCTCAGCACCACCAGCCATGCTGCCCCCGCCCCCGGGGGCACGCTGAGATGGCAGCCGAGTCTGGGTGTGGTGGTGCATGCCTGTAATCCTAGGAGGAGGTGGAAAACAGGAGGATCACTACAAGTCCCATCTACCTAGTGAGATCCTGTAGACCCTGTACTAAATACATGAAAGAAAAAACATGCATGTTCTTGAAGTTAGACACCTATATTCATAAAAGCATTATTTGCAGTAGTCAGTGTGGGGACAGCCCATTAATTGTGTCTACTGACAAATTAATGGATAAACAAAATATGACATATACATGCACCATGATATAATTTAGTCCTAAAAGTAAAAACATTATGACATGTTATAACATAGGTGAACTTTGGCATATACTAACTGAAGTAAGCCAACCACAGAAGTAGAAATGCTCTGATTCCAACCTAAAGTAACCAAATTCATAGAAACGGTGGTGATTGCCAGTGCCTGGAGTGCAGAAGAGTGGGGAATTGTTGCTTAATGACCATAGAGTTTTAGCCTTGCAAGATAAAAAAACATTCCGAAGATTGTGTAGCAAGGTGAATATCCATATCTCTTACTAAAATGTATACTTAGAAATGGGTAAGACAGTAAATCTCATGTTGTGTTTTGTACCCCAATAAGTTCTTTAAAGTACACACAAAAATTACAAAAGCCAGTAGCTTAAAAATCTCTGCATATATATTGTTAACAAGCCTTCTACCTTTTTTTTCTGTATTTTAGGGAAGGTTCTACAGGGTGTTCAGGGTCTCACTACTAGATCGGACTCAAAGTGATCCACCTGTTTACAGCCTCCCAAGTGCTGGGAATACAAGCGCGTGCCATCCTGGCCATTCTCAATTGCCGTCTCAGCACGCCCCGGGGACGGAGCTGGCACAACAGGCCAGTGGATCAAATCCTGGCCCTGTGCCTGCTTTCAGGTGTTTTAATCCACTGAGCTGTTTGGCCCACCTTTTACATTTTAATGGGAAAAAATCTAACATGAGCATGATGTATACATGTTACAAAAAACTAAACTCTTTGAAATGACACACTAATGGCATTTTAAATATCATTGTCTAATGTTTTGTTTCTTTAAAATGAGAGTAATAGGGCCGACAAGATAGCAAGTTTTTTGGGTTTGTTTTTAATGTTTTTAATGTAGTTAGTTGTTGCAGAGTCTTGCTATGCAGCTCAGACTCATGGTGATCCTCCTACTTTCAGCCTTCCCAGCGCTGGGATTACAAGCGTGTGCCACCATGTCTGGGCTCTGGCTGGCTCAGCCTGCCCGTGGGAATGGTGTGGCATGTGATGTTGAGGATCGAACCACTTTTGCCTAACCTTGCCTAAGCAGGTGCTTTAGTGCACTGAGCTATCTCACCCTGGGTTTCATTTCATTTTATTTTATTTTCTTTCTTGTGGTGCTGGGACTGGATGTCCTTTTTGAGGTAGAAGTTTGTTGAGTTCCCTAGCATATACTTAAATCTCTAATCCTCCTACCTAAAACTGCTGGGATTATAGTCGTAACGGCTATACCTAGCCTATTCTATTGTTTGTTTTTGTTTTTTCTTTGATGATGTTACTGGCATACAGCTTGTGATTTTGCGTGAATCTTTTGCTATTAATCTCAAAGATACGTTAAATGTCAGTATGGTATTTTGTTGCCGATTGTCTTCTAAATGTTTTTAGTATGACTATAGCAGTTGTCCTGTTTTAGTGTAGTGTTGTCCTTCATGCTTTTTAAATTTAAATTAATTAAATTTTTTTCCTAGGATCTTAATTCATATCTTGAAGATAAAGTCTACCTTACAGGATACAACCTTACCTTAGCAGACATCCTATTGTACTATGGACTTCATCGCTTTATAGTGAGTATTCAGATAGTTCGTTGCTTTTTTTCCCTGTCATATTTAGGATGATTTTTTTTTTTAATTATCTTCAGTTTAAATCAAATTTGCATTTTCAACTTACCGAATGAAAGTGAAAGGAGTCATTTTTAGGTAAGGTGCTTTGTGCACAAGCTCCTTCCATGTGACTGCTTAACGTAGTTGCCTCCTGTTCCCTGACTTGCCTGATTCTTAACCTTTGCTTCTGCTTTTCTTTCAGGATTATTTCTCCTGCCACCCTTTGAGCATTATCTTCACCCCACTTCTCTAGAGATACTAATTCTAGGTCCCATCTTCTGTACACCCTGGTATTCTAGTTCTTTCAGTCTCTTCATTCCTAACCCTGTCTGAGGTAATATGACTCTCAGTTTTCCAAACCTGTGTTTGGTACTTTTCTTCCTGACCCAATTTAGATTTCTGCCTGACTTCAGCTGTTTGAGCGTCTTTGCCTCCTTTACTCTGGCCTACAGTCACAATCTTTCCTGCAACTCCTCAGCATTTCACCACTCCAGATATATGTCTTCATTTCTGTATCCAGCGTGAGCTGTGTTGGAGAAATCGCAAAGCTATAAAGGGTTGCAAAGAAATTCTTGTATTGTCTGATTATAGCTGGGTTTCCATACGGATGGACTCCCCACCTCCAGACCTTTATCACTTCCCAAGCTTGTCCTTTGTCCTCCCCTTTTGTCTTGAGGCTTTGCCACAGAACCTCCTCTTCCTCACCTGCCAGCCCTCCTCTTACACGTCTTTACTGAACTTGTCTCCTTTTTCTGGACGCAAGTGCTTGTCTTGCTTTTTTTTTACCAGGCTAATCTGTCCTCTTAAGGCACCTTTCTTTACCTACTACCTCCTTTTTAAAAATTGTACCTCATGCAGGGTCAGGGATATATAGCCCAGGTATACAAGGTCCTAAGTTCAATTCCCAGTACCAAAACCACCAGAAACATTGTCCCTCATGTGAAATTTCTTTGCGGACAAGTAGAATGTACTCACCATGTTCTTGGTGCTGTTCAGCATGCTATATACATGTTAACTTATTTAATCCTTGGAACCCATGTTACCAATGGAATAATGAGGCATGAGAAGTCAGGTATCTTCTCTGAGAGCGCTCAAATAGTTGGCAGAACCAGCTCCTGAACTGGCGGTTTGCTGCAGAGTTTGTGTCACCCCCACACCTCTGTCTCCCCTGTGGAAAGTGAAGCCCATGCATTTTTTGTATTCTGCATCTCATCACCCAGTGGTGAGGTCTCTCACACATGCACATGGCTCTTCCTGTGACCCCTGATGACATTGCCCCTGCCACCAATTTCATCGCTACCCCAAATAAAGATCCTGATAGTACAGGATGACATTAGTGGGCATTGATGCAGTCTTTCCTGTGACCATCGGTTTTTTTCTCCCCTAAATTAAGTGGTTCCTCATTCCCTGCGGAGTACGTGTCATTGCATGGAGGAGCATCCTTCTGACTCCTGCCTCCTCCCAATCCACACTTTACCGTGGGCTTCAGCCATGACGTAGCCCCTTCTGCAGACCATGGGGCTCCTACTCCTCTGACTTGGAACTCCTCTTATGTTTTTGCGGCCTGGTCCTGGCTCCTCCTCCCAGTTCACTTGTCTTTTCTTCAGGAGTCTCAGCCTCAGAGCTGATTCCTGGGAGGATCACACTAAGAAGCTCTTTCCTGCTTCTTTTTCTGTCTTCACCTTTGAGAAGCTGTTATAAGCTGTTTGCGTCAAAGATTGTATGTAGTACCACCATTTGACACTCCTGGCACCTGTTATACAATCAGCCCTCCAGAAACATAATAAATTTATTTTGTATGCTTTTCAAGGAGTTTTACATTTCTTTCAGTATATCTTGTTAACTGAAGGAGCTAGGATTAGTGTTATTGTTTTCCTTTTATAGAGAAACGCTTAGAAGAATATACCATTTTATGAAAATATTTTTTTTAATGGCAAGTAATTTATACAAAAGGACAGTACTCGATCTTTGGAAGGATCACAACAAACTAACTCTTCTCACTCAGGTGACAGTATGTGAGGAGTCCTCTGGGAATTATTAGAAACCCTAATAATGTATGATTCAGTTACCTGATTCAGCCCTTCACAGCTGCAGCTTCTGCATCTGTGAAATCAACAAAATGCTGATTGAAAATACTGAAAATGATAATTAAAATTACATCTGTACAGAACATACAGATGACCATCTTTTTTGCCCTATTACTCTTTGAACAGTATAGTATAATATCTACTTTATATGGTGTCTACAATGTATTACGTATTATAAATAATGCAGAGATAGTTAAAAGTACACAAGAGGAAGTGCAGGTTGTGTGCAAATACTATTCCTTTTTATGAAAGAGACTTAAACTCTTGGAACCAACCCTCACAGGAGGATCTGGGATCCATACCACTACTATATTTTTATTCTGCTGTTCACAGTATAATCCCACAATGTGGATTTACTTGATTTATAATTAAGAATTATTGCACAAACATCCCTAAGTGATTGTAATTTCTGTATTGTTATACTATAATGGCTAACTTGACTTAGTGTAAAACTCCTCATACTATGTTTTATTTGTTGAGACCCTTCTGTATTTGCCCACTATACTAGACTTGACAAGGCATAAAAGAAGTATAAAACAGTAATTTCAAATAACTGCTAATTTCATTGAGGAAATGAAAGTTTTACATGAAAACAATGAATTACAAAAAGTAAAATATAGTGCTAATCTCTGATTAAAAGGTAATTTCATCATGTAAGGAGGCAGGTAATGAAGAATCCTATTTGCAACATTTGAACAGCCTTGACTACCCAAGGAAATCCTCATTATTTTAAAAATCTTACATGTGACTATAAACACTCTTTATAAACAGAATGGTCATATGAATTCCATCCAAAACAGCAGTCTTGTCTATGAAAAGAGGCGTATTAATCACAATGCTAGAACATCAAGAAATAGGACTTATTTAAACAAAATAAGGAGACCGGGAGGATTGTGTCATATTTCTCTTTGCCCACCCCAGCGCTTAGCTCAGTCACGTGGGCAGCTATGTGCTTATTAAGATTAGAAATATATAACATACTATACCTATTCTTAGTATATGTATAGTAAGATGTAATTTTAGTTATGTTTATCAGTATAAGTAAAATGATTTTATTTAAATGTGAAGAAAGCTGAAATAAAATGATCACATCAGCTTCTTTTTATTCCATTCTAGGTTCAATATATTTTAGTAGCTTTTTGACTTTAGAATGGTGACGTGGCACAACTTCCCTCATTTCAAAACGAAAAAGCCTCCAAGGTAAAGAGGATTTGCTGCTAAGGTATCTAAGTATCTCTCTCCTGGTGGCAAACCGACAGCTTTCAGCTTGGGGGAGTCCATAATTGACCTGACATGAATACGCTGCGGTGATTATGGCCGCCTTCCAGAGGGTTCACCAACAGTCTTTGGCTTTTTACTAACATACTTACCTGTGGCACAAGGGGTGGGGTGTCAGTGAGCTTTTTAAAACACTGTTAGGAAAAATATGTGGCCCCCATCACAGGCCAGTGAAGGTCTGTCAGGACTCCTAGGGTCTGGCTTCCTGTAGCATCAGGCTATCGCTGAATGAGAGGGTTTCTCCTATGTAATTTTAAAAAAAAAAACATAAAGTATAACTCTTAATAACCAAGTTGTGTATTTATGTTTTCCTCTTGAATGCTTGTGTAGGTCATGTGATAGGGAGTTTTGTGGCATTTCTTTGCCAGCACAGTGAACGTTATAATTGCCTAACACAGAATAGTCCAGCCTAGCTGCAGAGTTAATTATGAGTCTCAGTGCCTGGAGGGCGTTTGGTTCATAGGCAGACAGGTTAGATAGATCCACATGTTAAAATTAATTACCTTAGCAATATTTAACCATCTGTACCTATTTATTTATATTTCTCGTTTTGAAATGTATATTCTCCTTATAGTGATTAGCATATGATGATTAAATGTATGCATGTCTTTTTCAAAATAACACCAAGTGGCATATACCCAAATAACTCTGCTGACCATTTTTAGTTTATTCATACTGTAAGTCAAAGTATCACTTTCTCCCTGGTCCAAGGATAGCCAAATGTTCACATTAAAAAAAAAAGAAAGAAAAGGGGCCGGGGAGATGGCTCAGTGGAATAAGCACTTCCCTGGCAAGCATAAGGGCCTGAGTTCAATCCCTGGTTCCGCCAAAAAAAAAAAAAAGACCTTTTCATGGAACAGGCCTCATAGACTACACCCTACACAGTGACAGGATTGCAGATTGCTAGGTATTACATTCAGGTTAGGAGACAAGTCTAGATGGGCCATTTGCTCACATTCATCAGGGTCCTTGTTTGTTGTAGCAGGATATTTATTTGTGACTGCATGCATTCCTTCGCCTAGTTATTCACATTATTAAATGCTTGATTTGTAGTCAATACAATTACAAGGAAGCTTCGAGCCACCAGTCACCCACCGTGTTTTGTTTCATTGGAGCTCAGTTCTAGCTGTAGCTGAGCTATTTTGAGATCTGGGCTATCTTAATTCCTTTGAAGAATGGTATGTTGGGCTACCTTTGTTAGCAGTGCCTGTAAGTGTGGCTGTTGATTATAGCATCAGTGACTCACCTCCTGCTTGGAGTGATTTCACTAGTAGATAGTCGCCCCTGTGAACAGACTGTTACTAGAGATTATTAAAACCCTTTGTAATGCTCTGTGCTGCTTGACTGTATGATTGTTATCAGCTGAAATACATTTGTTCTGAAGTTCTAAGTGCCAGAGGAATATGTGGTTCTTTCAGAAGGAAAGGAAAAGTAGGAGGAATAGCTGGAAAGCCATAAAGAGTATTGCAGAAGCAGTCTGATACCAGTTGGAAGGATGGCAAGCCAGCACTGCACTGAAACAGGTCACTTAAAAGGCTTTTTTCATATGTCTTCATGGAAAATTAGTGATTCACAATATTATCTGTTTGGCTTTAAAGTTCAAAGTAACTGTAGAGTGCCAGTATAAACAAAAAGAAAAGCTTAGGACAAAAGCCAGGCACCACCTCAGACACACTGGCATGCAGACCAGTAACAGGCAGGAAGCGGCAACTAGAATGATTCCATTGCACTTCCTGTTATAAGAAACGGAAAAAATACATTAGCCAAGAAGAAAGAGATGGTAGAAAACCAATATTAAATAGTCTGGGGGGCTCCACCAAAAAATTCTTTAAAATGGTAAATTTCATGAGGGGACTTTATGATAATTTCATATGTAAAATGTCTACACAAAAAAATTGAGATCTGGTCCCAAGTTCCGAAGGTTAAGCTATAAAAGGTTAAAGTGTATTTCTGGCAGATTTTTCTGAAGGATGTTGATTAAGTTTACATTCCTGAAGTAGTCACTAAACTTCTTGTTAAAAAATGCTAGAGTAAATTAGAAGGTGCTAGAAGCTTTAGCAGATTTTGAAGTAAAACATGTTTTCTACTCTGCTGTGTTCATAGTCCTCACATTATAGAGTTGCATGCTGTTAGGGTTTTAAGTAATGGGCCTTATGGCAACATATGTAATCCTGTGTTAGCAAATGCTGCTCTGAAACACAAGTATTAAGTATGTATTCCCCTTTTCATCTGGTTCAAAACCTGTGTGTACAAATTAAGCATAGATCAAACAATAATTAGTCCTCTATGTGTTTTACTTTATTTTGAAAATAATATCCCACAAAATGGCTACCTAGAGAATTTAAAAGAGCTCTGAAAAGACTAAAAAATTATCTTAAGTCAGATTAGAACTGTGTTGAGTTAGCATAAAAATTATTGTTACATCTGACTGTTTCAGCTGTCAGAAAAGAGGGGGTTTTTTGGTGCTATAGATGGAATAGTTCATTTTTTTAATAAAAAAAATAACTGACCTCTGTTACCCTTTTAATCTAGATTGCAACTTCACTTTGCTATTGGTTGCCTTTTTTTTTTTTTTTTTTTCAATCTTAAGTGCCGGGGATTGCACCTGCATGGCAGGCCTGTGCTCTGCCTGTGAGCCCCACATGCCATCTTCAAGCTTTACAAAAAAATATATATTTTCGTAGGATGCAGATATCTAGATCTCAGTAGCTAGAGCACTTGCCTGGAATTCTCAAGGCCTTCAGTTCAATCTCTAGCATTTAAAAAATCTTCATTTTCCTTTTGAAGTCCTTGGTGAAATTTACCTGAGAATAGATTTAGAAAAAAAGAATAAAAAACTAGCTCTTTCACAAAATATTTTTCAAAATATTTTGAAATAGAAACTAATAACCGTTCCATAAACAGTTTTTTAGTCCTCCTATGAAATGTACCAGTCAGGTGCTCCTCTTTATTTTAACCGTAATAATTAGGAATATGTGAGTCATGAATTTTCTTAGTAAATTATCTTTTACGTTTAAAAAAGACTTCTTTCTTGACCAGTCTTTGTGACTAATGTTAGTTTGTCTCTATGTCATAGACTCACTATTATATTTGTAATACAGGGGTAGTAGCATCTTCCTAATAACTGTACATGATTTTATTCTCCCTCAGCCAAGATGAATCTATTTCTATAATTTGTTACCGAGATTGTATACAGGCCTTCTGTGTGTTGATAAAACCTGAAATTTATATTTTTATGTGACAGAAGCAGTAAAACCCTGACAATATAAGTCAACTGAGCTAGCAAATGTGAGTTCCATTAGACATTTTTAAAGAAAATAATGCCTGCCATTTATTGTTAATATCTTACTGCATCCTATGATAATTATTGAGACTAAAATGACTTTTGTTAGTCCAGTAACTTAGCGACATGTTTGCCTGAAGCCACAAGTATGTGTTAAATTCTGAGAAGCTGCAGGACAGCTAATTCACTGTCACCAAACAAGCCATCTGGGCTTGAGTAAATTCATGGGGTGATTTTAAGTTTTAGGGGTTTTTTTCTCTCTCTCTTTGTGTTACAGAGACTTGCAAGGTCTGTTAAGTGTTGGGTTAATAACAGGAAGAACTACTCCTTGCTAGCTTTCTGTTTTGCTAATAAAGCCTGATAATTCAAAACTTTGTCTTAGAGAAAGGTCTCCTACTTTGGAATTTGAGCCCAAGGACATGGTAGGCTCCTAGTCTTGATTTCGTCTCCCTCTAGCCACATGTCTAGGCATCCTTGTGGCTTGATAGTAAATGATCTGAATGCTAAGTCTGCAAAAAGAGTTCAGCGTCATTGCAAGTGGAATTTAGGAGTGCTCTTGGGTACTTACTCAGCCTCCTTCACCTGAGCGTGACTGAAGAGAGGCCTTCCTGTACTAAGCAGTGGTCACTTGAAATTAAACTGATCATTGTTGAGGTTTCTTTAAGAGCTCAATAGAAAGGAGGTAGCTGTCAGCATTTATCAGGTGTGTGTGTGTGTGTGTGTGTATGTATGTACGTACACATACCGTTTCCCTTGGGCGCTCCCATTTTGAGTACATTGGATGTCAGGAAATCTTTCCTTCTTTGCTGTTTCTCTGTCCTAGTCTTTTGGAAGCTGCTTCTTCCCTTCCCATCTTGTTTCCCAATGAAGT